CAAGCAATGTAGCGCGTCCGGTTTAAACTGTAGATACTTAAACCCCTACATCAAATTAAAGTATATTGAGCTGGCTATCAAACTATAAATTGTCGAATATCTTACGACCTCTAAATGTGTACTAGTCAAAGGGAATTTTATCAAATTAAGGACATTCTATTTTCTTAGTTCTGATATTCTATGACAGAGAGGAGAAGCTCTTTTATCGTCTAACTGATGGATTTAACAAATTGACGTCAGTTTTTATGCGTCTGTTCTGCTACTGATCATGAATTTCTTCATAACATTGTCAAAGTATATAAACTCTTGGTCTTCGGTCATCGTAGCTTGATTGAAAATATAAAAGAAACAGCGGTGATAAACATTTTAAAAACATGCATTTTATGAACTTTATGACCAGCCAACTGGTCTGCTTCCCGCCGGTTGGGATTTTTAAGCCTATTACGTTTAGTTGATATATTTGTATCTTTCATTTAAAGTGGCATGCCTGTGAACTAGCTAGGTGTAGCTAAGCGAATTGACCACTATAAACAACAACAACAACAACATACATTTTAAAAAGTATAACCGTTAAAATATTTTGGAAAGCTATTTATACTGTATCAATGGGGGTCTGGAACCTAGACAGAAAAAATCTGCAGTAGAAATTTAAGACGTTTACAATCGGAAATTGTCTGTAAAGTGACACAATGGAAAAGCTTCCCTAATAAAGTAAAAGCTTTTCACTGCTGACATTGTCAAAGTAGCTGTGGATCAATCTAAGAAGTGTTAGCCGAGTGGATCCGTAGACTACAATGTTATGACGAAATTCATGATCAGTAACAGGACAGATGCATTAAAAATTAATGTCAATTTGTTTTTTGCGATAACAAATTGTCAAATTGTCCGCTCTCGCTTATTGAGGCATCGCATAAATTATAAACTCATGCGTCTGTCCGCTTATTGACAATGAAAAATTAGCCAATGAGCGCGCGAGAATTTCTGCAGTTATCGTAAAAATATATAGTGACTGTTGGATCATAGGCCATGACATATGCACGATACTAGCAGACAACTCACTTAATGCCTGCTTGCTTTACTGCTAGCGATGTAAAAAGTGACATTTTCTTACTGCGAGTTAACGAAAATACACAAACTAAAAATATTATGTTTATCTTAGCAGAGAATTTGTTTCATGCATCACCTCAGTCAGTGTAGGGAACCTCTCAATGTCTTATTTTCGTCGTCTAATTAGCTGGAATTCCTTCACTGCCTATGCATAATTGTCCGCTACCACGTTTTGGAAAATACCTGCACCTGATTCGCTCGGGCCACGAAAGGCCAAACAGCCGCACAAGAGGCAGACAACCTTTTCTTGCGCTTTTGCAAAGTGAGCGGCATGGTGGGACTCTCCTTGTAATGTTCGGCTGGCACATGGGGGCATACACGGAGCAGAGGAAATACTTGAGGTCAGGTGAACACTTTTGATTGACAAGCGGCCAGAAATGATTAACTTCAAGTGCTGCTTCCTCTTGTGTGTCGTGATAAAGCATGTTTGGCATGTGAGTTAGATTGTAGCCAATATTTTGGCACATGGGTATCCTTATCTTTTCACATTTCTTCCCGTTACTTGTTTGTTTTGTAGTTAACCCCTTCGGCCAAGCAGTTTGCGTATCCATGCACAACTTGTCTCCCCCAACTTTAGGAAAGTGTTCGCATTTCATTCGCTCTGGCCACGAAAAGCCATACTTGAACATAACGTGCGAGCAGCCTTGTCTTGCTCGATCACAGACTGACCAGCATGGGGGCACTTCGTCGTTGAAGTTCGGCTGGCACATGGGAGCATACAGGGAGCAGAGAAAGAACTTTAAGTCAGGCGAACACTTGATCTCAACTAGCGGCCAGAATTGATGAATCTCAAGTGCTGCTTCCTCTTGTGTATCATGGTTAAACATGTTCGGCATAGAAGTTAAGTTGTAGCCAATATTTTGGCACATGGGTATTTTTATTTGTTCACATTTCTTCTTGTTATTTGTGTTTGTTGTAATTAATTCCGTCGGTGGAGCTGTTTTCGCATGATTAGCTGTACCTTTGTTTCCACTCAGGCACAACCTGTCACCCATTTTAGGAAAGTTTTCACATTTCATTCGCTCGTGCCACGAAAAGCCATACTGACGTATAAGAGGCGCGCAGCCTTTTCTTGCCTGTTCACAAATCGACCGGCAGGGCGGTACTTCGTCTTTGAAGTTTGACTGGCACATGGGAGCATAGAGAGAGCAGAGAAAGAGCCTCAGGTCAGGCGAACACTTGATCTCAACTAGCGGCCAAAATTGATGAATCTCAAGTGCTGCTTCCTCTTGTGTGCCGTGGTTAAACATGTTCGGCATAGAAGTTAAGTTGTAGCCAATATTTTGGCACATAGGTACTTTTATTTGTTCACATTTCTTCTTGCTAGTTGTACTTGTTGTATTTAACCCCTTCGGTCCAGCTGTTGTCATACGAGCCGTTTTGGTCTGAGCTGTTGTGGTACGAGCTGTTGTAGTATCATTTGCTTCAACGTTTTCGACTCCATTCAGGCACAATCCGTCACCAACTTCTTTTGGAAACTTCTCACATCTTATCCTCTCGGGCCACGAAAAGCCATACTTACGCATAAGAAACGCGCAGCCTTTTCTTGCCCGTTCACAGACCGACCGGCATGGCGGCACTTCTTCTTTAAAGTTCGCCCGGCACATGGGAGCATACACAGAGCAAAGAAAGAGCCTTAGGTCAGGCGAGCATTTGATCTCTACCAGTGGCCAGAATTGATGAAGCTCAAGTGCTGCTTCTGCTTGTGTGTCGTGGTTGAATATGTTCGGCATCGAAGTTAAGTTGTAGCCAATATTTTGACACATAGGTATTTTGATATTTTCGCATTTCTTTTTGCTAGCTGTTTTCGTTTTGGTCAATTCCGGTCGGGCTGTTAACGTATGATTAACTGCAATGTCGCCGGCTCCACCCAGGCACCACCCGTCACCAACGCCTTTTGGAAAGTTTTTACATCTCATTCGCTGGGGCCATGATAAGCCATATTGCCCCATGAAAGGTGCGCAACCTTTTCTTGCCCGTGTGCAAATTGACCGGCATGGAGGAACGTTTGTGTTAATGTTCGGCTGGCAAATGGGAGCATACATGGAGCAGAGAAAGAACTTTAGGTCTGGCGAACACTTGATCTCGACTAGAGGCCAGAATTGATGAATCTCAAGCGCCGCTTCCTCTTGTGTGTCGTGGTTGAACATGTTTGGCATAGAAGTTAAGTTGTAGCCAATGCTTTGGCACATGGGTATCTTGATCTGTTCGCATTTTTTTTCTTTGCTAGAAGCAAAGTAGAACAAACTCAAAAACAGCAAGACTGTAAACACTACGTTGTGTTTCACAGCCATAACGATATCAAGTGAAAGAATGATCCCTCCCTGATTTCATCGGGTATTTTTCAAGTGCCTGGTGCGGATGCCTGCTTTATCATTAGATTTTCCAAATTGACAGACTCGTATATTAGCCTGAAATGCATCTGAAGAGGCCCTTGTGACTTAAGATGCTTTCACGAAACTGGTTCCTGTAAGATGTAGCCTCAGCACAGTGCCCCAGCAGGCATGATCACGTGCCAAAGCGACTGTCGGAAACAACTTGGCAAAACAATTCGTTTCGTAAGCTGGTCGCACGCAATGCGCTTGTTTCTTATTTTGGGGCAAGGCGCTTGATTTAAGAATTTTTTTTGAAACAAACGGTGAAATTAAATTTAGAAATGTAGCGAGAAAACGTATTTTGTTCATCTTTTTCCTGGAGGAGCCCGGTTTCGCCAAACTGTAACGTTTTATCAGAAATGGTAACGCTTGCATGAATATACCTTCAATAGAGAAATAATTGTAACCTCTCCCAGACACCAGCGGTTGAGCACACTGCATTTCTTCTCTTTAGATACCTTTAGAGACTTATTTCGAAATACCTAAAAGGCATTATTCCTTATCGATTATTATACTTCCTTTCATTAAATCCCACCCTATTGTCTATCTCCAGCTTGAAATAGAAACTCTTTACAGGCGAAGCCTCCCCTTACAGTTCACTATAGGGAGTTAAGGAAGAACTCTCTGTTTTGTTTTCTAACACTTTTGCCATCGCCCTTGTAGGTTTTGCAGGGGACCGGACTCACTAGCATTGTCAGGTCTATTTTTGCAAATGTTTGCCAATATCCGATCACGTTCTTAGAATCTGTTTGTAGAGTTAACTAGAATAACAAGGTAACTGCCTGGAATGGCTTCTGCTAAAAATAGCCCCGTTACAATTAATTAGCGTAACTTACAAGTTACTTCTTGACTGTTACAGGGAAAAATAATTACTGGTTTCCCGATGCAAAATTTCGTGGTTTTTGCGTGGATTTTATTTTACAGAAAAAACCGTTCATAGTTTGTAAGTCAGATCTTCACCTAAAGATTACGTGCAAACTCAAGTAAAGAAAACCACAAAAACCAAATGTGTCCGACCCTCTTAGAGATATTGCTTCATCCGCTAGCTCCTCTTTTAATTCCAATATCATTGCAGAATTTTCGACATATTTAAATTAGAATCAAGTAACACTATTTGAGAGCGTACTGATTGACAGAGTAACTTTACAGCTAAGCCTCCAGTCGAAACAGAGACCTATAGGAGTTAAAAACGTCTTATTTAGGTGTTTGCGGAGGAAAACATGAGATGAAATAATATATAAGGCGTACGATGTGTTTCTTAATGCACTTCCGGGTGCAATATATTTATATACTAAAACTTTTTTGAAAACAACAATATACATGACATAAAAATAAGATTATTTTTAGGATCACTTAAGCGCAATATATTTACAATAATGCATTGTCGGGTTTTACAGGAGATGTTATCGTACAAGAAATTTATTTATTCAATACCGCTTTTAACACAGAATAGCACATATTCACACGTCGGCACACTCTCTACACCGAGAAGACTTTTCTGTTATGAAAAAGTGATTAATCTCGGTGACATTTGACTATCAGGTGCTGTCACAATCTATGCCGCTCCTATTAATCTTATAGTATACGAAGGCCGATTATTTTTTAACTGACAGTCTGCAGTTGAGCACATAAGACGACCAGACTATTTTTAAACTTCAATACTATCAGTTACGCCAGGTTCTCACTACAGAACGCAGGTATAAGCATGCGCACAACTGAGTATTGGCACCACTTTTACAATACAAATCAATCTTTGCTGACGTCACTGTTTACATTCGTCCGCATTTAAATAGCTTGTAAAGGTTAGTAATTTGTAAAAGTTCATACTCTCTGGGTGTAATATTCAACGAAAAACTGTCTTTCAAAAACTGCAAAATTCTGGAAGGTACAAGCTAATGAACTCATATATTAATTTTGTAAAATTTTAAGCCCGCGTCGCACAAGAACTAATTAATACATCGGGTTCAATTTGCTTGGGAAAGTTTATTGTGCTATTCCCTTTCAATATTTAGAACTAATATTCTTGTAGTTTGATAAGAAACTGAATCCCTTATGCTAAGCGGGAGGCAAATATATTGCAAACAAAGATTCTTGTTTTGCGATGTGATTGTTGCATTCGTATAAGGGACAAGTTTGAATCATAATATATCGATTTATACCTAGAGAAATGTCATGGCGCCACAGAATGAATAGACAACAACCGATAAGTATAAATCTCATAGCTTGAACATGCACATTGGCCTTATTTTCCGAATATCCACTCGGGAAATTAACCGCTAAAACGATTTGAATAACCGGAGAAACAACGTTTAACTGCATTCGACCAGACACCGAGAAGAGAACTTAAAATACGAAGCGAAGAGGAGTATTTTTGACGAAATTCGAAGTCCTTGAAAACGTGTTCAAACACGTTCTTTTGAGTTTGTTATATCTTCTCAACCGAAACTGAAACTGAGGAGAAAACAAAGGAACAAAACCGAAAATGAAATCCATGCTAATAAAGATTAGATATCTAAACACCTTCAGTAAACTTGGAGAATTCAGTCGTATAGATCTAAATATATTCTTACGACTATTTTCTTGTTTGCATTAAGTGTACTAATAATTTTGATTACCTCGCATCCACGTTGACTTTTGTTATCCTGAAAATAAGAAAAATTAACCCCGTAAAGGAATCTCGTTGGTATAGAGTGTAAATGTTAACAACGATAATTTATATTGTTATCTTGCACGGTTAGTAAGAGGCTAGCCCTGAAAATCATTATTTTGGACGGTGTAGTTTATCTTTGCTACGGGATTAACATATGCCTCAAATATTTTCACCTTTTTTGTTTGTCCAAAAAACGCAGCTGCACTGGAATAGGTAATTCCCTGTACTTTAGATAGTCCGTGATTGTTAAGTCGAAAATAAGTCATGTTTTTGTGTTTGGTAAATTGGCAGCTATTGTAGAAGCTTGTAGAAACAAATTATCTTTAACGCCGTTGGTCAGTGTAAACCGGAATTCATGTTCTTCTTACAATAGCTTATTCAGCCGAGAGCGACCAATTACTGCAGCGGCAATGTGCCGAACTGAAACTCGTTCAGTTAGCGAAGCCACATGTCTTATCTCAGAGAAAACCTACAGCTGCAAGAGTACACTTCTATCCTATTTCGCTTCGCTCAGCTGAAGAGAAAACATTTTTATTATACGTAAAGGAGACAAGTAATACAACAAATAGTGAAGGAAGCCGCCAGCAAAAATCGACTTTATTTACAAGAATTCTGAGACATGCTGAATACAGGTTACAAGCCAGAGAATAAAAGAAAAAGATACACTCTATTTTAAACAACGATATTTACAGTAAGGAAAAAACAGCCTCGAGTAAAGTGGTCGGCGTCAAGTGGTGTGTTATTCACAATTCATGGTATATAAATGTATGATTATTCCAATGGGAAATAATTCAAAGCAACCTAATTAAACACCCAAAGGAAATACATTTTACGTTGTAGAATCAGTTTTTATCATATAGACACGAGTGTTTTACTGGAAAATTCACCACTCGTAAAATTCATACGAAACCACATCCGGGACTCGAGTGGCGTATTTTCCATATCCTCACTATTGAAGATATCGAGGGTTTCACTGATATCAAGTTTGTCTCTTAAATTGTACTTAAATTCGTTGATGTATCACCGAAACATCTTCGGGTCTTCGTCGAAAGTCCTCGGCAATCTTCGGACATTTTCTGAAAATGTTCGGCAACGTTCGTGTGACCTTCGGACAAGTTTTGGAGAATCTTCGGAAATCTTCAGAAAGTGGTCGGAAATCTTCCGAAAATCCTCAAAAACGCCGTCATCAGTATGTCTATATAATGAAAAGAACATTACACGTTAGCTCGAAGATATGAAGTTTATGTTCTCGTAGCAAGAACAGTATCACACGAGTGAGCGCAGCGAACGAGGGAGACATTGCTCTTACCACTCGAACATAAAATTCAAATCTTCTCGCCACCGTGTAATATCCTCTGTACATTTATCGTTTTACAATTGGAATCATAGAAATGATATTTTTCGCATATCAACTTGAACCAACCAAAACGATTTTTAAAACCGAAGAGACAACTTATCGTGTATTGAATGTGTGGGTTATGATTATGTCCTGACCAAATCAGGTCTTTAAATAAGCTAGACATTTTCACTGCTATTATTGCTTATTTCCATTGATGTTATGCAAAAATACAACGTAAATGTAGCGACTAGAACTTTCTTTGCTTTTGGGTGTCACGTGTTTCCGTGACCCCTGGGAATTATGCAACCCACTCTGTAATACTTAAGCGTTCTTCATTATAGGTAGTTTTGTGTTTACATTTTTGGCCAGTGCTTGTTAGCGCTGAAAGTTCGATCTGCTGGTTTCTACCGCGTTTTTTCCTTTGCTGCTTCACTGTTGTGTGAGCCCTGAAGTACAAATTCTAGAATTCGAGTCGCCACAGTTTTGTAAGTTTATCTTGCTCCGTCGCCAGTTTTTTGTGTCGTTATATTTTGTACTTAAATATTTTGTCTTGTTTATTTTTCAGTTGAATCACACACCCACGATCACTTTTGTTTCTCTCCTGTCTACGCCCAGTATGATTAAACTTGTGCATTCAAACTGTGACGTCTGTAGCGGTTACTAGACCGACAGCGAATGTGAGGCAATTTCAGGCAATTTTGTATAGCTTCTACCCCAAATAGTAAGGGACAGAAAAAAGTATTATTTCAAGAATCGTAGACTAATGTAGCTTTCAAGCCGCAAGACAAGACCCAAAAACATCTTGACAAAAGATCTGGAGACTTTCACTTTCTTGGCTAAAATTGATTTAAAGTTATTTTTTCTTACGGCTAACGGTTTTAAAACTTTTTAATTTTCACGCCTAACGGCTAAATGTTTGGCCCGTTTAACGTCTAACGGTTAATCCCATTGAGACCCTAATACAGGGTTTCCCAAACCCAGTTCTCAAAGTCCTTCGAAGACGCGAAGGTCGCGCTCGCGGTCTACTGCCTCGCTCTCCTCGCGCCCAAGTTTTGAGCTTCGGGGACATTGTTTTCAGTCCGACCTCGGCTTTTGCAGCTCGACTTGAGGATCTGGGCGGCCATATTTTAAGCAAAGATGTACAAAAGGGGTCGCGATTCATAACATTTATTCACTCATTTATTTGGATTACACCTTTAATTTTGATGAAGGAAAAAAAGGAAAAAGCAGATATAATTTTATTGTTCATACCCTACAGTCGTCATAAAATCATTTAGCTATACTTAAGATTTATTGCACAAGTGCAGGATACAGAGCGACTTTGGACTCGGCTTCACAGAGCCAGTTCTCTATTTTGATATTCTGCTTGTGGCTGCGTTTCCACTTCTGTTGCGTGCTCATTGTTCAGCGTTTTGTTTTCTTGTTGTTCATCTTCTTGGCTAGCCCTCGCTTTTCGTTGTTCAGCAATAACTATGACTCTATTTTGTCGCGATCCAAACATCCCACTTTCAAGTTCCTCTGCCCGTGCTGCGTTTTTTCGTAATAACAACTGAATTAAAGCTACGCGAAAATATCTTATCCTAACAACGTAAATCAGGAGATTGAACAACGAATTTAGAAACGGCAGTAACGTTACAACAGATATGACCATCCCTCTTACATCGTTGGGGATTCTGTCCGTAAAAGAATCAATTATATTTAAACAAATATTTGTTGGAATAAAGCACAGAAAAATTGTGAGTATTATGACAAGTGTCGTGTAGAAAGATTTCTTATTCTTGAGCATCTTCTCCTTGGCTTCTAAAGACACTTGGTTAGATACAATTTGTTTTTCGTTGCGGCGGACCTCCTTGCATATAACAACATTACAGTAAACTATTGCGGGGACTAAGATATACAATATCATAGAAACCTCTAATTTCAGCTCAAATGTTTCGTTTGTATCCCCGGTGAGATGAAAGGGAAGAACTATCCCAGCGACCCACGCCACGCCAGAGGCCACCATGAGACGAACTTCAGTAACTTGATTTTCATATGCGAAGGGGTGTTTTATCGCTATGTAACGCTCCGCAGTCATTAGGAATAAATGGAATAGCGATGCAGACAAACATGTCATACTTACAGCCATCGACACTTCGGTCAGGGTGCAAAATTGGCTGTTGTGAGTCTCACCTCTGATCATTAAACTGTAGCTGGCGATTTGTAGCGGTTGAGTCACAAGTCCCACCATGAGATCAGTTGTGGCCAAGCAGGCAAGAATCATGTTCGACTCGGTGCGAAGCTGTCGTTTTGTTTTCACTGCCACAATAACAAGCGCGTTCAACAGAATGATAAGGGGACATATTATTGCATTCACAGTAGTCCTGAAGATGAACACAGCGACAACACTCGATGAAGCATCTGATGGATCAAAAGAACGAAGAAGTGCAATGCCACAAGGAAGCAACGTTATGGAGGTGGTATGGTTCATCGTTGCTTCGAGATTGACAAACGCTTCTGATATTTTTCGTTTCTTGTTGGTCCATAAAACGAAGCTGCTATGGATTAGCTAATTTCCTGTACTTTAAATAGTTTTGTTGGTAAATTATTAGCTATTGTACATACAGTTTTTTTTAGTACTTCGAGTGTTTGTGTAAGCGGAATTTATGAGAATGGCTGAAAGCGAACTAATTACTGCGTAAACTGTGCATATCGTCAATACATTTTATTTCACTGAAAACTTTCAGCCTGTGGAAGCTACAAGAGAAAATCTATCAACATACTTTTTGTTGTGTAATGTTTTTATTTTTTAGTCGTTTTTCCAAGCATTGGAATTTTGATCATGTCGGACATTTTCCATCTTAGCAGCTGAAGCGTTAACTTTGGCTTCATCAGAACTTCAACAGCAGTTTCTATTTAACAGTTCACATGAGCTATTTTTTGCTCAAGGATAGCAATTGATTTTACAAACACAAATTGCGACAATGTACTAATGGGCTGCAAACACAGGAGTCGAAACTGAAGAATGTGAACTTTTCTCCTTCATGATATAACTGAGATAATTATTTTATCGTGATGGGCTAAGAGCTGGCAAATTTATCGTTCATATAATTATTTATTTATTTATTTACTCGAATTCAATTACACAGATGATCAAAATAAAATAAAATAAAGAATTAAATATATTTACAAGTATATAAAGGAGATATCTGAGTTATTAAATAGGCCAGTTTATACCGAATTAGTAATCGGAGGGACACTACGCCGGACGAATATGAGAACAGGTTTCACTCTCAAAACGCATCAAATGTTTTCTGTCCACTCTACGCAGGTGGAATTTGAGAACGCAACAATCACCGGTCATTTTGGATTTGTGTTTGAGGGAAACTCGGTCAAGGAAATCACGTGATTATTGTGAGGCCGTCGTTCTCGAAAAGCTGCGTTTTTAAGATGTTTTGAGTTCCGTCCAGACTAAAACGAAAAGCCGGCGTAACCGTAGAAATAAAGCTGCGTTTTCAAATTTCTCCGTAGTGTGGACGCTGCGTTTGTGGTTGGGTAGTTGCATCACTGCATCGAGAAAAAGTTCTTAGTTCGGTTATGCCGGTTCGCGTTTAAGAGATGGAAAACAAAGAACAGTTATTTAGTTATTTAGGGCACGCATGACAGGTAATACCTGATTGGTAAATACGAGATTCAATATTCCATGTTTCCTCTCGCGTTCGGTCCATGTCAAATATATTCTCGTGCGGCCCTCTCTCTCAGTCAACAAGTGCATATCTAGCTTAACAAGACAGCATAGGCTTGAACGTACACCAAAGTCAGTTATTTTTTAACTTTTTATTTGCAGTCTCGGACAGCTTCTTGTCCACAAGAAATATAACAAACTGCTCAACCCATTGACTCTCGGAGCTTTTAGTCAAAAAAACCATTTTGGACATTTTGGAGATTTGCAGGCTGGATGTGGGCCAAATTAGCACTAATCTACTCAAAAAGGCATTTGCTACATGACAACATGCTTTTCTTTCCACTAGCATCGCGTTTCACGACATTTTTGCTCGGGCATGCTCAGATATCAAAATTTTGAGAAATCAAAATTTTTGGACGAGAAAGTGGCCTACGTCTTTAAGCTTTTCGATTTTTTCAATTTTTTTTTTCGCCTTTTCTTTTCTTTTCGCTGCAGTGATTGACCTTCTACTGGGCTTGCTTCCAGTTCAAAAATTTCTGAGAAAGCATCATCGAGACGGGCAATTTTTTAGCACGGAGTAGCCACGTGCAGTCGCAGGAAATTTTGCTCTGAGTTCTTCACTCAACTTTTTGAACATTTTCGTGCATATTTCAGGCTCCATTGAGCCGATCACTCTGATCTGGGTATTACTGGAAAGATCTTTCCCTCCTACAGAAGTTGAGCATAGATGATGCCAATTTTGGTCAAAGGTGATGACGTCAGAAGTGGAACAAAGGCCAAGGCTCGTCACGGCTGGTTACGGGCGGCACGGGAGTCAATGGGTTAATACAAAAAACAACTTTGTTATTTAAGTTAAAAACAGTTTTTTCCCCATCAGGGGACTGCTTGGTCATAACTTTGCCTTTCACAATACACGTACTATTTTGTGGTTTTCGAAATTTCCTAATGAGATAGTCGTGGTGAAGAATAATACACTTGACCCTGTCGTGTTCCTCGCCTCGAGATAAAATTTGTATCCACTTGTAACTTTTCTCCTTTCCTTCAGAACTCTAGAGAGAAAACAGAAAAGAAACAAATTGAAAAATGGTCCAATAAAAGAATACCAAAATTTAATAGTGGCTAAAGCTGTATCGAAAAAGGTGGGTTAGTAAAGACCAAGTCTGCATACGAGCCAAGTGGCTCATCAGGTCGGAGCTTATCCCGGTTTCTGTAGCAAGAAGCGACTAGGAGTATTTCTACTCCCCCCTGGATGGGATGCTAAACCATTGCAGGGTTACCCCCAGCAATAAATTCGCCGGTACTCATTTATACACCTGGGTGGAGTGAGGGACTGTGAGAGTGTCTTACCCAAAAACAATATCCCCAGCCAGGGCTCAAATCTAGACCGCTTGATCCGGAGACGAGCACACTAACTATGGGGCCCCCGCATACTCAACAATGCTGAAAGGTATTATGGGTAGTGATAATCTATCTTTGCTGGATCGAGATTCATGATGTTTCAGCAGGAAGGACGTACATGTAGAAAGCATGAATACTCGTGCCCTGGCTGTCTTCATCTATAATGCTGAAACACCGGGGGGGAGGGAGCATTCTATTCACTGAACATCTTGCGTTTCGAACGTTCTTGCGAATAAACCGCAAAAACAGGACATTTTTACTTCTTGCGGCGGTTGCGTGTTCTTGTGGCGCAAGAACTTCTTGCGCCACTTCTTGTGCGTGCACTAGTTTTGGGTTGTACTGTACGGAGAGACTCGTGTTGTATTTACTACAAGAAAGTTTACACTGTGTAGGCAACACCAATCCTGCATACTACTAAGATCAGCTATGAGGATGGCATTCTGTATAGAGAAGAAAGATGCGAAAAATTTAAGCTCAGCTAATCATTCGTGACAATACCGAAAAGTTGTGAAATTAAAGCCTGAAAAAAAAATTCAGACTTGAACGGGATTCAAACCCATGACCTCTGCGATACTGGTTCA